TGCTGATAATAACTAACACAGCGGGATTAGCGAGTTGGCATGTAGATGTGTGCATAGTGAGATTGTACAGAGATAGGGATAGGACCTTTATCGTATTGTTTTGACAGGGCTGGGCGGAGCCGGGTAAGCGCTAGTATCCACTAAAAACTAGACGGAGACTCGGCGATGCCTTGGATCGTTGCCTCTGGTGACCCCCCCCCCTTTAACCGTCTCCGTTCACCTTGCTACGATAACTTTCGCCCACTATTCGCAATCGTCGAGCTGATTCTCTCCGAAGGACGGACTAGATTTACTCGAGATTCTTTATTGGACATGTTTGCATTTTGAAGTGACATATGTTTCTTAGCCGGCTTGTTGCATGCCCTTCTTTGAAAGGGCAGCCCTGACGCTGGAATCGTGAGCAGGATTTTTGCCGCAGATTTAGGCCCAAGTTGGAATCGAACCCTTGGCCTTTAGCATGGTAATGTCACGTAGAGCACTACCACTAGACTCCGCTCCATCTGTTTTTCGTGGGTATGATTTCACTTTGTCAAATGCTCAAGTAGATGTTGCGTGTTTTGAGCCTAATATTTAATTCATGTCTCCATGTAAAAGCTTTTCTAGATAATGATGCTTTTAGTGGACGTAAAGAGCTGTTCAAGTATCGACAGTCAGTACAAAGTGCGCCTGCAACATACTGGAATAAGTCGACCCACACTTAAAATCGAAAAGCTTTCATTGTTGAAAAGTATTGTTATGGGGTTATGAAGTGAAGCTGAAATGCCTTGTTTACAGATCTATCTCACTTTATCGCTAAGAAAAGGTCTCGATAATCATATCATACGAGTCTTCTACTCTGACAATTTATCCACCATTGCTCACGTAAGGGTGATTGTTTGAGGACACATGTAAAAATGGAAGGATCTCCATAAATAAGTCGTTGGCGCTGCACTTACTTCACTATAGCTAAAATTACCAAACAAGAGCAGACTACAAACAATGGGAAAATACTCAGTTCTACCGAAGTATTTGCTACTCAACGTTTGTCATGGAGTTCACACTGTAGCATACTGTGGTCTTGAAAGCGAGAAAAAGGCACTCATTCGAGCGAATCGCTCAAGTGACTAAGTGCATCTGCTCATAACGAACGGTCAGAAGCCAAAATGGGTTTCTCGAATGCACAGGATCGGGTGCATTCTGAAACGCTGATTTTAAATTTGCTTATCTGTCAAAAGCCTTTTTTGGAAGAAGTTCGAAGCAATTTTATTTGAAGAGGAGGATTATTAATAAAAGGATAAAGGATTTGGCGTATTCAATATCCTCTGCGGGTACGCGCCGAACGCACACTTTCACATGTCGTAGAGCCAAATGTATGCGTGCGAGGGTCTTTTACAGTGACTGGGGGAGGGGGGGGGGGGAAGAGAGGGCTAGCCGTACAACAAGCCAGTGCTTTTGTCCTTCTAGATTTCACTGAATTTCCCGGCTCACGAGGGTAGAAGGCTTGATCGGCCTAAGGGGGGGGGATTGAACCTGCGTCCGATCTGGTCATAGCTGCGCCTCATACTACTACGCCACTGTCTTCCTCAAAAAAAATTCCGTGTATGAAATGAGTATCTCACGCCTTAGGTTCAGTCGAATAAAATTCCTACCTGATATAGTATTCCTGCAGACGCGACAACGCTTGCCAAATTGCCATCGAGAGTTTTGGGGACTATTTTATGGTTTTTCTTTGCTTTTTAGGTAAGTTGTTGCTGATAAAGGAGTAGAATGTAACTTACAAGGAAACAACGTGACCGTGGCCTTTTGGGATGAGATGTATACCGTTACACTCATTTTGGAGCGCTGATTCCGAACCTGACTTTCGTTTTTGCTAATCGTTTCTCTAGAAAAGGTCATGAAGGATTTTTGCGCCAAAAGAGATGCGGTCGTAGTGGCTAGTGCGATAGCCTCGCAAGTCAATGCAGGTTTAGGTTCGAGCCCTTTGGGGATTTCAGTTTTGCATTGCCTCAATCAAGCTTCTTTTTGAAAGTTAGGCATCTTCGACCGCATTTCTCTTACAGTCCGTGTCAATCACGTGCTCTTTTTCCGTAAAAGCAGTGAGCTTCACGCCACGTTCGCGAGCGTATGACTCGGGCATTCAAGTGGGCCTTATCGATTGGAGGTCCGCATGCAGGACCCTTGCGTTGCGCATGCGTAATTCCCATGCGAAAGGGAGTACTTAGTTGACATCGACTGTAGGTGATCATTGACGTAAAAATCCTTCATAACTTCTTCTAGAGGAAAATCAGCGTTCCAAGACGAATGTGATGGTATACGTTTCATCTCAAAAGGCCGCGGACATCAAGTATCGTTTCCTTGTTAAGTAGGTCCTGTTTTCTGAGTAGTTAAATCATCGCTTATCCCCAGTAACTGCATGGGACCTCGCGTCACTTTGATTTGTATTTTTTGTCACTTCATACTTCTTCGCGTCAGTTTCGTGCGTATTTTTTCTCACATCTACCTCTTTCTTCTCGTGCTTTTTTGAAGGCTGGTAGGGTTTTACGCCTGCCTTGTCTCTTTGTCTCAAGAGCTGCCTCTCGGCTATCTCTTCAAGTGAAAGCCGAAGTTTGCGGAGGCTACTAGCGTTCAAAGAAATACTTCACAAGAAGAAAGTAGCATGAATTGGCAAAAAGAATAACATGAAACTGCTGCCACGTGGCTTCCAAGGAGATACCTAAATGGCAGCGTCCAGACAGATTCTCGACTTCTATATTTTTATGTTATCCAGGCCTTTCCACGGCGCTGATTCCAAATATGGACTTCAAAAAGCTTGAATTTTCAGAAAATCACCTTTTGGGGCTATTTTGGGAAAACCCAGACGAGTGCTTCTGATGTTATCCTTGTCGAAAACAAGTACTAACAGGTGAACGCTGTTAGTTCGACTGTGTTGGTCATGTGAAAACACGTCAAGGCTGAGGAGATTTCGTTCATAAGGGGTTGGCCGTCCGAGCGAAGTGAGCGTGGTCGTCGAGCTCGGATCTGCCTGGACGCTGCCTTTAATAAGCGATGGTAATATAACTGCTTAAAAAACAGAAGTTACTCTCTAACTTACCCTTTTCTCCTTTATCAGCATCGAAATACCTAAAAAGCAAAGAACAAAAAAAAAGAAAAAAGAAAGCAAAAATATCGCTCGGAAACTCGCAATGGCAGTTGTTGACGCAGAGACGCTGTCGCGTCTGCAGGAAAACTATACTGGGCAGAAAAATACTACTCGACTGTACCATTCGATTTAACTGTCTTGGCTTCGGCAAAGGCGGGGCTTCATGACCTAATTAAGGTTAGGTAGTGATTAGAGAGCACTTGCTCGAGAGGACGCAGGTGCGTCGGGAGCGGCCTCAATTAGATCACAAAAACCCGCCTTAACGGAGCGAAGCCACTTGAATCAAAGGTTACATTGCGATTTTTGATCTTCAGCGTGGACGTTGTTGAGACACAAAGTTTATAGGTTTTGAGCCAACACTCATTTACATGTCTAAATTTGCACTTTGTTCACACGCTATTATAATGCCCTTTGTCTACAGAGGCATTTTGCAGAAAACCAAGGGAAACTTGGAATCAACGTTCTATGATGGTATGCAGCTCTTTGAGAATTGAGACTTTGGCTTTTCACCACTCCCTTATCGAAACACTAAAGGATAGCCGGGCATCGAAAATCCGTGTTGCTCATTTTACATGATGGTTGATGTGCACGCTTGCTTTTTGGACAAACGCAAAGTAGGCGATAGAGCCTTTTCTGAGAAACTCGTTGAAGCCCATGGGTAGGAAGGGGAAGGGGAGGGGAGATATGAGCAAAAAATGGCATGTCTCAATTTATCGTGACCATAAACCTCCGACAAAATTATCGTTTGCACGCAAATCTGAATCAGTGAACTGTCTGGTAAAGAAATCTGTTCACTTCACTATTTCATCATTAAATTTCCTCCACATAGTTCTCTCGTTTGTTAGGATAGTGAATGTCATCATACCTACCCAGGTGACCTCTTTCTTTATTACGAATAACATTCAGGGCAGGTAATCAAACTCAGCTTCGTTTTCAGACCACGAAACAGAGAAGATATCGTAACACACGTTAAACAGCATACATTGGAGACATCCTGCCTTACTTTACCATCATGCTAGACACTAAACATGCTATAACTTGTTTTTTTTTTCATAGGAGCGCAAAATCTAGAAATAATTCCAAAATAAACTAGCCTTTTCAAAGCGCACAGTAGATCATATCATATGACATTAAGTCTGGACTACATATACGCAATAATCCTGTAAAGTATCATGTAACTCCCGGAAAATTGTGAAATAGTACCTTCTTACGCTCCAAGCCCCAGTTGGGCTCACTTGGCCAGTACACTTTTTTGATTAGCTGAGTAGGTTGCACAAATGATGAAAAGTTCCCATGATTTTCTAGTTTTCCAATTGAATCTTTTATATTGTTTATCTTTTGAAAAACCGATTCAAAGGTTGTTTTTCTATTTTTTTCTTCGAAATGTCCAAGAAATAACCTTAGATATCGCACTTCAAATCCGACGTTTTATGCGTTTTATGCGTTCCAAGCATTCCGTTCCTTTAATTCTCCTTTTTCAATTTAACGTTTATTTCGAGTGTTTCGTGAAATTTTTCGTCTTCGGCCTTATAACTGTGCCGAAGTTGTAGAGCGATATCTTGCATCCTGGCTTATGACTATGCAGCTGTTGGAATATCTCGATTTCTTCAAGGAACTTTCTGGAATTTCGGCGGAGTCAAATGAGCTTTTTTTAATCAAACCCAGAATGCTATTTCGTGGCTTGCCCTGACACTACTCATCATTGAGGATAATTTTGGTTAACATGTTTTTTTGAAGAACATTCCCTAGAAAGGATCGACAATGTTAAGCAAAATAGCCGCAAAAAAGGCAAATAAACTTACACTTTCATTTCAACATGTATCATTTGTGCTTTGCATGATGATGTGGTGTAAATAAAATAAGCCAAAACCATGACTATAATTTTTACTCTGAAAATTATTCATCTACATGTGGACGATTGATGTATAATAATCCTTTTGCGAAGTTTATACAACAACGAAACGGTAATGTTTTGCAAACAATCGAAGATTTTCGTGAAGGAGATAATCGATCATATTGTTTCTAATGTAGGCACGTGATAGATTCTCCCCTGGTCTGAGCGGCAAGGTTGACTCTTCCAATGTTGAACACCTTTTGCGGCTTACGACCGCGAGTGATGAAGCTATCAGGAATGGTCATTACAACCTTCTTTGAGCAGGGCTGTAATTTTATTCGATAAAGTATATGAAAAGAGTACCAATACGCATACTCCGTGGTGGTTGCATGTGTGGTAGATATAAAGCCTGGGATCAATGTTGGTGATTTCTCTTTTGCTTCCAGAAAGGTAGAAGCTACCGGTCGTATTGGTCCTATCTTCATCCAATCTCGTGTCAAAAACTTGATTCAAAGGATTACATGTTTTACTCTACAACAATAAAAAAGTGACTCACATATCTCCTTCTCGTAAAGCCTAACCTTCACGTCTTTCGCTGGCACTCCATTACACTCCAAAGCCCCTTTAACCGCCACTGACTGCAGTCGACCTATTCCAAATATGCAGATGGATTGTTGAATACAAGCTGCGAGAAGCAAAAGTACAAGTGAGCAATGCATCTAAAGACAATGACGTCAGCGAATAATACATCATTACATTGAAAACGTACTTTGATTTACGACTAACAAGCGCACACTGCTGCTAAGTTGAGTTGAAAATTCTATATGTACAATGTGCTTGTCAGAATGTATTTACGCTTAATTTGCATGATCTCCGTCCTAATTTTTATAACCTTAGTTGATGGAGTGCATCTATACATTTGCATAATCTCTTACTGCATTTGATTCTCATATAGAAACTATCATGTAAGGGAGCGAATTATTGAGCAAGATACGCAATATAAAAACAAATTTTGGATTGTTTTTGGAGGTGTAGGGCGAAAGTAAAATTCTTACTTATAAAAGAATTTTGAGTTAGGCTATCTTATCGTTTCCGCATTCGGTAACGTTCTTCTTCATGACACTCCTCTTGAGAAAAAACACTAAGTTGGCAAAACAGAGGTGTAAGATTATAAACTTGTTTATTTCTCCAGTCACTTTGAAATCTTAAGAAATGCAGCTCCGGCAAGGTCTGCAACGATTCTGCAACGATCGAAAAGGTCTCTTGCACAAAGAGTGCACACCGTGATAGAGCTGATAATATGCGGGATGTCAACTTTGTCATAAATTATGGTGCTCGACAAGGTTTCGAAAAAAAAGCACTTTGTTCTTGCAAGCTCATACCCTGAACATCCCCGATTCAATCATTTGTACAACAAAACCCCTTGCAGTCCATCTATTTTGAGAGTGGGCTACAAATAGAATAGACTCAGCTTATAAAAAAGCGCTTTGTGAGCGCAGAATTACGAAGACCCCTAAAATTACCTGGAGGTCTTCTTGCGCTTAGCTTGATGTGATGAACATGAGAATGTTTTTTTTTCGGAAGAAGTTGCGAGAAGAGCTCAGCAGGGAACGGAAAGCAGCTTAGGCCCAGGGCCTAGTTGGGGCCCAGGGCCTAGCCTAGTTCAGACCGCCACAGATGGTCTGGGGTCAAACTAGATTTTGGTTTTGGAAAGACAACGGGGATATCGTTTTATGATGTCGTGAGCAGAGCGCCAAAAAACCACAAACATGTCAGGTTTTACGAGTTGAATGTGTTATTTCGCAAGCGCTCGAATTTCAAACGCATGATACAAAACAAACAAATGGCTTGTTTACAGGGCACAAACAATTACATAACACCAAATTTGGGCTATGTGTATACAATATTACTCCAAACTATATTATGTAAAAAGTTTCAGAAACTTATGTGTCCTAATACCCGTTCCCAAATTTGTTAGTTTCTAGACCAACACCGAACCAACAGGGTTGGTTCGGAGCATAAACAGAGAACTCACATAAGTTTCGAACCTTTCTGATTTGGACGATTAAAACGCTCAAAAATCTATTATATAGTAAAGAGAAGCGAATCAAACCATTGCCTCTACTCTTTTTTTTATGCCAGAAATAGTGTAAAGCTACGCACTAATAAATATCGCGCTTCAAGCACATGCGGTGTCCTTTGAACTACGTGGCGAAAAATGCGTCGCCAAGTTGTTGAGGCTACAGATTTGGTTGCTTTAAGAGGTTTTAACATTCTGAACACTGAAATGATATGTACTATACTCAATGAGGAGCCTTTGAATTAACTCAAAATGTTTTTTTTGCTTTTTTGTTATATTAGATGCCTCAAAATGCGCTTTTTTCGCTTTTTATCGTTATGTTGACTACATAAGCGTTTCCTCACTGACTTTTACGTCAAAATGGTTTTTGTAAATGTTCGCCATGTTATGGTGGACTTCTTTTTAAAGATGTTCCAAATCAACGCGTGCCGCTCCCTGCTTGGGCTTTTGAAGAACCACGACCAGCTGACGAACGGGACTAAAGGCAGTGTCCCGGCAGATTCGGGTCCTGGGGGATATACGTGTGGTGGGGTTCCTGGTCACCCCATCGACACCTCTAGGCGCACTCCGACTGGGTGATGTTTCTCCTGGGCCGAGAAAATGGCCCTTGAACCGGCGCGCGCAACCCCAACTGGCGCGCGCTTGGACGGCCTTCCCCGCCTGTTCGGCGCAGGACCCCACGAGCGCTCTCCCCCATGATGCATGCTATCCAAAGCAAGAATTACGGGCGGCAGGATCTTCGCATGAGGACCTCCCCCAACTTTCCATTGAAAATCTCGTCCAAGCTGCTTTTCTGGAATTAGGAAAACGCCCCAAAATCGGCCTTTTCAGTCCGTTCATAGCTCAAATTCGCATTCTACGTGGCGAAAAGGCCTAAAACATGCAAAAAGGTGGAGGTGCAAAATCTGCCGAGACACTGCCTTTAAAGCCCACCTGTTCGACTTAAGCGTTCTCAGGCGCTCTATTACGGAGCTGAGACTAAGCCAACACTGTGGTAACCTTAAAAGCACTACAGACCACCCAAAGAGCTTGAGCGCGTCTTTTGAAGATGACCCGACACAAGCATCATCCAGTTAGACTTCGCAGTACGGATATGAAAAAAATGTCCGTCTTCGTGATCCAGTTAGCCGTCAAAGTGCGAAAGAGAAGCATCATTGGACCGGTCACACTATAAAAAGAACAGAACATGGACGGCAACATAAGAATGGACCCCTTGCGACGCAAAAGGTCTCCGAGGAAGATCACTATCAAAATGTGCAAATGTGTTCTACTATGGGTTATCAAAATAAATCAAAATGAATGGCGCCCGATTCTGTGAGTGCCAAAAGGATACAAGAAGGGCTTTGCGAGTAATCTAGTTGCATCTGTTTTTGTCAACTACTATCATCGCAACCACAGGCCGATAAATTGAGCAATTTTTCTGCCCCTCTTCACTTTTGGCCGGCATCTGGATGACTCCCATCATTTGAAGCCGAGACTAAGCATAACGGCAGAAGAAAACGCCTATGATAAATGGAGCGAATTTTTTTTTGGAACCCCCAACTGCAGCTTCTTCTTAGTCGATGACATGACCGCACTTTTACAGCGTTCCTAAAGATAATGCAAGCTTGACACTTCCAGTCTTACTCAAACCTGGGTTTAGTTTTGTTAGCAAATAAACCCAAATTTAGAAGATGTCAAATTCTTTGATTAAGCAACATCGTCCAATAGTTATATTTTATTGCAAGTAAAAACTATGTAAGAGTAGGAAACCTGGTCTACCCAATGACGTGTGCATGTTCAGTGAGAAGGATTGAATTATATTTTCTTTTGTTGAAAAGCATGATAGAAAAAAAGGCAATAGTTTCCTCAATTTTAGAGCCTTCCAATCACATTCGAAGCCTCGAAAATAACTTTCCGTCTCAAGAATAAAACAAAAAATAATCCATAAAAATCAGATGATTTTGCAATTAGATAAAATTCCTTATATTTCGTTTCGCAGAACAATTAGGATGTCTACTTCAATTTTACATGTTCCAAGCTTTCGGATGGTATGTCGATGATGAGACATAAACTTTTCCTGAATCAAAAAGTCGATGAACTTTTGAAACATAGCCTTAAAAGATTCTTCGTACCCACCTTTGCACCACTTATTTTTCTCTCTGCATACCCCAGCCCCATTCGGCATGTAAGCTTACGTCAACACTTGCCTTAAGGCTCAGTTCCCCCTTCACTTTTCTAGGTCAGAAATAACCAAAACTCCCTTCACCGAAAAAGGAATTTGTTCCTTATAACACCTATGATCGCAACTGTCGCTGCTCGCGCGATGCAAGCCTCTCCTCGATTCAGGTGCCGGGAGCACTGCATGCCGCCGAATCGGGCACGCTTTTTAAACTCGCGCCCGGACCTCTCCCGCTTGGGGCGCTGCCAGGTTGAGGAATATATATAAGGCCGCGCAGTTGGCGGCATATGCCTCTCTGATTTCCGGCCTCGTTTTCAAATTATTTTCCGATTTCTCACGTTCACTTTATTGATTGTGCATGGCAACTAACCCGGCAAGCTCCCGTGGATGAAGTCTTGCGAGCAGTGATTGTTATAGCTACCGCGCTAGCGCGCGAGGAAAGTTTAGAGCCCTTGTGGAAAAGTTAGTACCGGGAGTGGAGAGGGTCGCAACTTTCCTACGCGAAGGCGAGAGTAGGCGGTCGACCCAGGTGATTCCCCTGACATCATGTGTTGGAATTAGGTTGATGTTCATCGGCGGCTTGAGACGAGGCGGACTCGTCCCGTGTATTATTCTTTCTTTAGCTTTTAGGTAATTCCGTAGCTTAGTCTTTGTAGTGCATTTGTTATTATTTAGATAAATGTTAGTAATCTAATCGCGCGTTCCGTGCTGTGTATTATTGCCACTGGCGGGGTAGTCGTTGGACGCGCCGGAATGGCCAACCGGCGCTAAGTTTTGTAGGTAGCAGGTGCAGGCAGTCGAGCGAGGCAAGGGGGTGCTGAGCCCACCGAGCCGCAACAGCAACGCAATAGTCAAATCAGCATTTCGCTGCTCAATCTCTCGAAAACATCTTAAACCCTCTCGTCACCCGAAGTGTACTCTAGCCACAACCCTTTTTGTGCAAAATGTACTCAACAATCTCATTGTCAGCTTCCTATAGTCCAAGAAGGATTCAAGTTCTTTTAGCTGCAGAGCAAAACATGAAGGTTTAGAAATTCCTTTGCTTTTTTAGGAACTATCGCTCTCAGTTATTGATTCCCACATTCTTGGATGGAAATCTTTCGTAACTTCGGAGGATGATTTAGCAGAGTTTGATTAGAGCATTACATGACATAAATTTGAGCTCATATTTTTAAGGGTTTTTTTTGTGACTGTGATGCAAACTTGGCACCACTTATTATGGCGCACCCTGTAGAATGAATGGGCTAGCTCAGAGATCGCTAGATACGAATATGCACCTGAAACCCGTGGACACACATCGACCATCTGCAAAAAGATCTTAGATGTTAGAAGCCAGGCAGGGACGAATGGATAATGCTATACTTGGGCCACAGCATGAATACAGCCCATCTTCGTATGTGAGCAATTGATTGACCAAAGGTTTTCTGGTTTGAGTTCGGTTGTTGTGACACTTTGAAAATAATGATTTTACGAATCTGATGAAGAATTCGACAGTAAGCAAGTTTTGAGAAAGGGCAGCTCACTTTCTGCGCAGGCATCAGAGGAAAAATTGCTGGCCAAGAAGTGCTGGATATCTTTTGTAAATCTGTTTTGGACTGTGTAAAATAGCAGAACTGCCACTTATTTATTTACAAGACATACTTACAGTGGTATTAAATTTGGAGACTGAAATGTGCGGAAAACATTACAACTTAGGTAATTCTAACTTCG